CGGGAGCACCGGACGTGCTAGAGGAGGCAGCGACCCGCCGAGGCGGGGGGGACCCCGGGGCCCAGGGCCCCGCCCGGGGGGGGCCGCCCCCCCAGCCTGCAGCAGCCACCGAAGAGCTGCTGGGAGTCACCTCCTTGCCCCGGTTCCCCGAAAGGGCTGAACGAGAAACATCTGCATCCTCTTTTCAGACTCCAGCCGCCACTCAACACGCTCAAGAGGACTGGAAACAGATTCAGAGCAGTGGTTAGTGACATTTGCTGCTGCTTGTAAGCAGCACACGCCTGCTACTGCCAACCCAATGCAATTTCGAGCCAGCCTGCCCATGCCAGTGCTCCCAAACCCTCCTCGCCGCGTCGGGGTTGGTGCCTCCATCCCGAGCGGCTGCTCCGCACGGGGCCATGGTCCCTCGTCCCCGAGAGCGGGCCCCTGGAGAAGGAAGGCGCCGCTTTCTCTCCGCCGCGGCTCCAGCCCCTTCTCACCGCCTCCGACGCGGTTTCAAGCTGCAATCGGGGCAGCTTGCAAAACCCCAGAAGGCAGATTACATCTCCAGTGCTCCCGATCTGAGCAGGAAGCAACAAGGTCCACATCAGCACTTTTAAGAGGATGTTGTACCGTTCAACTTGCGCTTAACCGCCCCAAAACAACCGGCGAGAGAATCCCGGAGCGGTACCGGAGGCAGGCGGCGGCAGGGGGAGGCTCTGGGCTGCAGCAGCGGTGGGATGTTAAACTGCACGTCGGCAGCGGCCTGCAGGCCCTTCCGCAGTGCGGTCAGCCTCGGCCGCCCGCACCGCCAGCCGTAAAGCAGAGGGGGTTCCCCCATCCCCATCGCTAGAAAAGAGGGACCACCTCATCCAAGTGACAATATAATTTTGTTTATTTTCCTTTAACACACTGCTGGTTAAAACTGCCAGACAGTAGATTTCAGAACATTCCCTCAACCAAACGTCCTGGGGAAATTAAAAAATAAAACCGCTACCGTGTACCAAAAATAAAATAACCCACCCCCACACCCGTCTTTTCCCCCAAACTAGTCCTCGCAAAGCCAATGCAATCAGAAATAGACATCTGTGCTTTTCACCCAGGGCCCAAGCTTGCTGCAAAACAAACTAAAAAATGTCACTGCAAGTTGTTATAACACAAAGCAATGGACAGTAAAATAAAAAATCCTCCTTAAAAACGCTTTGTACTGGTGACAAGTACAGATGGAGATCTCTCCCCACGCTTTACAGACAACTTAGACCTGCAGCTTCAAGGAGTTTGTGACACGTCCTTAATGCCAACAGCACGGGTCGCTTCCACGCACCCCAGCCTACGCAGCCGGGCGCTATGGAGCACGGGGACCATTTCCCAACGCTACAAGCTGCTACGCCGATGGGACCCAAACGTCACTGTCACCTGCCCAGCGTCTCGCAGTCCCGGCTGCTGCCTCCCAGCACGAAGCACAAACCCTGCCTCTGCTCTCACCTTCTCCGGGGCGGCTTTACCAACCCGGTTGCTTCTGGAGCGGGAAAGCCCTGAACGCACCAAGCCCCTGTAGAAACCATGACAAATTCACGCCCCTACTTGCCAGCCAGTTTTCAGACACGGCTTCACGCCAGCGCCCTAGCTGAGGGGCTGTTACAGCGCGACAGAACAGCCGCGGTACCACAGCAAGCACATCCCCGCTGCCCGTGACCGGGAACCACTCCAGGGCAGAGATCCTGCTTTTCCTAGATTCGCACTCTCCCCAGTTAAACTGGTTCAAGCTGTACTTTGCCCCTTGCCTCGAAATCTCCATCACACAAACTCTTTAGCAGAGACCTCTGATGTTTGCAAAGATCATTCACATTTTCTCATCAGCCAGCACTGTTTTTAGGAGGAAGGAAAGCACTTCTGTTTTGTTGATTATTCTGTTTTGTTGATTATTTTTTTCCTTTTTTTTTTTTTTAAATAAAGCACTTCTTGGGAAAAAAAAAATCAAAACCTATCAATAACCTGCAGTAGCATCCCACTGATCAGCCTGGGGACGGCGCTGCCACATCCCTCCCCCTCCCCCATCTTCCCCCCAATCTCCAAAAATAGTATTTAATATACAGCAATAAACTCTGAGCAAGCCAGAGTCCCGGAAGACATGGACCTGCTTTCACCTCTCCCGTCCAGCCCAGCACCATTTCAATACGGTTGCTACTGTACTTCTGGGACAAATCCTTTCGGATCCAAGGTGAAACGCACGTGCCCCAGCCCCGCCGGGCAGCGCGCGAAGCAGGGGCGCAGCACAGGAGGCCTATTCGTGTAATCACGTCTCGGAGCCTTCACAGCCCCAGCCTGGTGTTGCGTTTGTGCCGTTGAGAACGCTTCTCTGAGCCTGTTTGGGACTAGCCAGTGAAAACAGACTGGTGGAACCAGGCTGACATTAAAAAAAAGCATCCTTGAATTGTATTAGGCTTTGGCATTTGTTGTGGAGATGCAGAAGCGCCGGTAGGTAAATTCGCTCAGTGCTGGCCCAGCTCCCATTTCCCTTGGATTCTCAGCAAGGATATTTCCCTCCCCGCCACATAAGTGCAAGAAGCAGACGGATCTCTCCCACATTTGAGCACCAAACAGAGCCTGAAACACTTGGTACTTCGCAGCTGCTCAGAATCTGTCTCATATCAAGGGCTGAAGCTGCTCTGCTGGTCCTCTCCCTCCTCCTGCTGTTTTCCCTCAAAGACAGGCCTGTTCAGCCCAGACTTCCCATGTCAAGACATTTCCCTGGCTGCTGCAATCCCATTCAACTTAAAGGCAGGCCAAGGGACAAAGCACGAGTCTCTGCTCCCTGTTCAGACCCAACCAGTGCAGGGCAAGCCCTTGGCGAGTGAGTTTGGGGGGCAGGACCCCCCCAAGGCCACACTCCGCACCCAGAAACTGTAAGCATCATACGACTACCAGGACCCAGCCGTGACTCACTCGGCTCTGAACTGCACAGACACACAGGCACCAGACTGTCTGGAAGTTCTCCATCCTGCCTTCGGGAGATTTCTGGGGGAAACCAGACCTGAAGGAGCTCTTCCAGTTCTTCTATCCCCTGCTAGGCTTTTTTTCCATTGACCTCAAGGGCTGGAACCAAAGATATTCGCTCGCAGTTCTCTGCTTCAGCTGTGACCTCCGGAGCTGGCATCCAGGGAGAGTGAGACAGTCCCCAGCTGATCACAAGGGCAGGGAATGCCTGTCCCTTGGGGAAAAAGAAAAACAACTCAGAAGCTCCTTTAAAAAAAAGAAGCTTCTTCAAATAGACTTTTATTCAAAGCCCGAGACAAAGGCACCAAAAAGAGACAGGAATTCCTTTGGCTTTCTGCTCACTGCCACCTGGGATACTCGAAAGGGTCAGAGCTGCTGTTTTAGTCACACACACAGAAGGGGAAAACGGCCTGGCTTAAAGGTACGAGGAGAGGCTGATGAGGGGGTAATTAAAATAGGCTTTGGAACCACTACCCTGAAGCTGGATCCAGGCCCAAAACATCATCGATGGTGTCGTCTCCCCTTTATTAAGCGGAAGCTTTATTAAAGTTGCCTTATCTGCCCCTCTCTCCGCAACTGCCCCACGAATCAAGCCCAGCTCCCCACACTGCTGCACAGGGACACGCACGCCAGCTGCCTGCTGCTGGCTGGAGGCAGCAAACCACAAACAGGCTTGTCTCTAACCGGTCTCAGCTAAACAACGTCTTGGATATTCCCTCAAACACCTGCGCTGGAAAGCTACAGCCAACCCAAACTTTTTCTTTCCCTGCTCAGGACCAGGTACCTCATTACACCCATCTGGCTGGCTCGCAGGTGCCGGGCAGGGACGACAAGGGGAACCAGCCCGAGTACGGCATTCACAGCAAGGTTATCCCCTACCATCCTCCTGTGTTCCCACACGCTCTGTTTGAAGGCTCCTTCCGAGGCAAACCTGTCAGGAGGGGAGGGAGCAACAAGGAAAACTGCTCATAGCACCATAACAGGGTCAGGAACCCTCCAACCACCCAGACACCAGCTTCGTAGCGATAAAAAGGTATTAAAACAGAGCCAAAACAACTAAACTGAAGCCACGAAGGATGAACTACTCCTCCTCCCTATTCTTATTCAAATAAGACAAATTCATTTCAGCTGAGCAACTGGAACACCACAGATCACATCCTGCACAGCCTTGCCTTCGGGTGGCTGATGGCACCAAACGGGTGTCCTGGCTGCCAGGAGAGGCAGGGATAAACGATCCTAGAAGACTCGTCTCCGACTTTAGCACACCTAAATGCACATCCCTTTTCTCGCGCTAGGCAAGGTGCAGAGATTACTGGGTGAGCCACAAGAAGCTGCGTGATTCCTTGCTTCAAGGATGCTCAAATAAAATGCAACCTAAAGGGCCTGGAGGAGAACAGCTCCTTACACAGAAGCTTGCTTTCAAGCCCAGGTTCTTTGCTTAACAAATCAGCACAGTTCATGCTTCTCAAAACTGATAAAGATCTTAATGTCTCCATGCTCCAGTTAAAGCAATCCCAAAAACGCCGGAGAATCTCTGCAGGCACCATCACCAAACAAAACAGAGCTCATATTTTATAGGAGTTTTATGAGTACTCGGATTTTAACAGCAGCTAGAAGACAAAGCAGACAACTTCAAGCTCACCACCTTTTCATCCTAAGGTTTGTTCTTAAGATCTGCTCTCAAAGCCTGTCTTCTCCTTCTGGAGTGGCAGCGACCCTCTTGCTTCTCCCAGACTGGCTGTTACCACTTGGGCAATTGGAGAGAAGGTAATTAAGGTCCTACTGCTTGCTTTTTAGCTCACAGACACAGAAGTAGGGTCAGGCCTATAGCAGCGATGTATGCGATCGGAAAGGCAAGGTTCAGCGCCACTGAGCAGTGCTTTGATACCTCCCCCTGCTCCCCTTCTGGAGCCTGTGAGCTGACAGCTCATCTCGCAGCTTGAGGGTTAGGAGGAAGAGACGGCTTCAGCCGCTTGGGCCCAGCAGAGCAGAAAGGCCTCGGGTTTCGTTTCCAGAAACAAGGGAATTTTGCTGACCCTTCTCAGCTCAAAGAAAAGCTGAGCCACTGCAGGGGAACAAACCCGAGAACAACCGCTAGGAAAACTCAGGTCCAGGGAGGAGCAGCAGCAAGGAGGACACCGCTCAGTGCAGCTGCTCTGGATAAAGAGAGAGCACGAGGTAAAGCGTTCTGTGAGCCCGGAGCTCACCAGGATCGAAGCTGACCCGCAAGGGCCCAGCCACGCCTGGGCCAGATCCTGCTCCAGCACACAGAACATCTCCCTCCCACCAGCCAGAAGCGCTCAACATGTCAGGGGCCAAGACCGTGCGAAGACAGCTCCCGCGGGCCTGCAGCTCTGGATCAGCGGGCGCAACGAGGGCTTTCGCTCTGCTCAGCCTCCGTCAGGCAGGCACAGGCTCTGCATGTGGAAACAGAAGCCTCTTGCAGAAATATCCCCGGGGGAAGCAGGTGACCTTGTCTCCAGTGTTCTGCTCACTTCCAGATCTCTGGAGGGCAACAAAACCACCTTGCTCTACAGTACTGAAATGTCGGACATCTGCCCCTTCACCACAGAGCCTTGATATGCACAAGGCCGAGCTAACTGAAGACACGAACCAACTCCGCTGCACTTCTCACCGCTTGCAGGCAGGCCTGGTCCCTACGACAGGGAAGGAGAGCTCAGAGGGAGCATCCGCGAGGTTGCTCCGCTCTGTCCTACAGCGCAGGTTGTTCACAGTCACAATCACGGGGCAGGGAAGGCAGCTAACCGTTAAGGCGGCCAAGGAACAAGTCCAGAACCTCCTCTCTAGGTCATCTGATTCTCAGGTTCTTCCAAAGGAGAGGTCACTTGC